TCTAGTCTATAGTCTAGTCTATAGTCTAGTTTATAGTCTAGTTTATAGTGTAGTCTACAGTGTAGTCTATAGTCTAGTCTATAGTCTAGTCTATAGTCTAGTCTATAGTCTAGTCTATAGTCTAGTCTATAGTCTAGTCTATAGTCTAGTCTATAGTCTAGTCTATAGTCTAGTCTATAGTCTAGTCTATAGTCTAGTCTATAGTCTAGTCTATAGTCTAGTCTATAGTCTAGTCTATAGTCTAGTATATAGTCTAGTCTATAGCCTAGTCTATAGTCTAGTCTATAGTCTAGTCTATAGTCTCGTCTATAGTCTAGTCTATAGTCTCGTCTATAGTCTAGCCTATAGTCTCGTCTATAGTCTAGCCTATAGTCTATAGTCTAAAGTCCAGTCTATAGTCCAGTCTATAGTCTAGTCTATAGTCTAGTTTATAGTCTAGTCTATAGTCTAGTCTATAGTCTAGTCTAGTCTATAGTCTAGTCTATAGTCTAGTCTATAGTCTAGTCTAAGTCTAGTCTATAGTCTAGTCTATAGTATAGTCTAAAGTCTAGTCTATAGTCTAGTCTATAGTCAAGTCTATAGTCTAGTCTATAGTCTAGTCTATAGTCGGTCTATAGTCTGGTCTATAGTCTAGTCTAAAGTCTAGTCTATAGTCTAGTCTATAGTCTAGTCTATAGTCTAGTGTATAGTCTAGTCTATAGTCTAGTCTATAGTCTAGTCTATAGTCCAGTCTATAGTCTAGTCTATAGTCTAGTCTATAGTCTGGTCTATAGTCTAGTCTATAGTCTAGTCTATAGTCTAGTCTATAGTCTAGTCTATAGTCTAGTCTATAGTCTAGTCTATAGTCTAGTCTATAGTCTTAGTCTATAGTCTAGTCTATAGTCTAGTCTATGGTCTAGTCTATAGTCTAGTCTATAGTCTAGTCTAAGTCTAGTCTATAGTCTACTCTATAGTCTAGTCTATAGTCTAGTCTAGTCTATTAGTCTAGTCTATAGTCTAGTCTAGTCTATAGTCTAGTCTATAGTCTAGTCTATAGTCTAGTCTATAGTCTAGTCTATAGTCTAGTCTATAGTCTAGTCTATAGTCTAGTCTATAGTCTACTCTATAGTCTAGTCTATAGTCTAGTCTAGTCTATAGTCTAGTCTAGTCTATAGTCTAGTCTATAGTCTAGTCTATAGTCTAGTCTATAGTCTAGTCTATAGTCTAGTCTATAGTCTAGTCTATAGTCTAGTCTATAGTCTAGTCTATAGTCTAGTCTATAGTCTAGTCTATAGTCTAGTCTATAGTCTAGTCTATAGTCTAGTCTATAGTCTAGTCTATAGTCTAGTCTATAGTCTAGTCTATAGTCTAGTCTATAGTCTAGTCTATAGTCTAGTCTATAGTCTAGTCTATAGTCTAGTCTATAGTCTAGTCTATAGTCTAGTCTATAGTCTAGTCTATAGTCTAGTCTATAGTCTAGTCTATAGTCTAGTCTATAGTCTACTCTATAGCCTAGTCTATAGTCTAGTCTCTAGTGGAGTCTATAGCCTAGTCTATAGTCTAGTCTCTAGTGGAGTCTATAGTCTAGTCTATAGTCTAGTCTATAGTCTAGTCTATAGTCTAGTCTATAGTCTAGTCAATAGTCTAGTCTATAGTCTAGTCTATAGTCTAGTCTGTAGTCTACTCTATAGCCTAGTCTATAGTCTAGTCTCTAGTGGAGTCTAAAGTCTAGTCTATAGTCTAGTCTATAGTCTAGTCTATAGTGTAGTCTATAGTCTAGTCTATAGCCTAGTCTATAGGCAAGTCTATAGTCAAGTCTATAGTCTAGTCTATAATGTAGTTCTAGTGAAGTCTAAAGTCTAGTCTATAATCAAGCCTATAGTCTAGTCTATAGTCTAGTCTATAGTCTAGTCTGTAGTCTAGTCTATAGTCTAGTCTATAGCCTAGTCTATAGGCAAGTCTATAGTCAAGTCTATAATGTAGTTCTAGTGAAGTCTAAAGTCTAGTCTAAAGTCTAGTCTATAGTCTACTATATGGTCTTGTCTACAGTCTATTCTGTAGTCTAGTCTATAGATTAGTCTACAGTCCAGTCTAAAGTTAGTCTATAGTCTAGTCTGTAGTCTAGTCTCTAGTATAGTCTATATTCTAGTCTGTAGTCTAGTCTATAATCTAGTCTACGGTCTTGTCTGTAGTATAGTATATTCTCTTGTTTATAATCTTTTCTTTAGTATTGTCTATAGTCTAGTCTATAGTTTAGTCTGTAGTCTATTGTATAATCTAGTCTATTGTCTAGTATATAGTCTATAGTATATTATGTAGTATAGTACTGTAGTGTAGTCTATTGTTTTGTCTATAGTCTAGTCTATAATGTTGTCGATAGTGGTCGTTATATCTAGTTCAGTCTATGAGCAGTCGTCCGCTCTATAGCTTAGTCAGATTTATAGTTTGGTCATTTGGCTGATCCATCTCTAGTCTGTAGTATTGTCAATAGTTCACTCTATATTGGAAGGCCAGTCTATGGTCTTCGGTTTACTCCACTCTATATGATGATGGAAACACCCTAATATGTACTAATATTTACATTATACCGGTGAACAAAATTCTATATTACGGCCAAAAATTATTGAAAAAATGTGATATTACTACCACTATGCCGCCAGTATGACCAATAACTTGACAATAACAACACAAACAAAACTTTATATTACAAAAAATATAAAAAATTACTTGGAAAAACTCCCCTCGGGGGCTGAAAACAAACAAAAGCACCACCTAAAAAAATAAACAAATAAAACAACTTAAGATTTTTGTTAAAAAGAAATAAACTATAAAAACAGAGAGTTCAGTAAATGAGAGTAACACAAAGAGAGAGCGAAAAAAGAAATGTGCAAAAAAGTACTTTATAGGGGAATTATCTATTTTTTATGGGGGTAGGAAATACTTACGACAAATATTAAATAAAAAGACTTAAATATTTATCTAAAAGATATAAATATAATAATACATAAGAATAGAACAAATAATAAAAGCACATGGTGCGTGTGGGATTAATTACAAGGTAAACTTATAATAAAATTAAAAGGGAAACAAATTTTAAATTAAAAATAATTTTGTTGACAACAACATGTTTTTTGTTTTGTTTTTGCAAAAATTATAAACAATAAAATGTATTATTGTCTATTCAAGCATGTTGTATAAAGTTTTTAGTTAGAAACCATAATAAAACAATAATGGTTGTATCATGGTTAGAAACAAATTGTTTATAAATAGAAAAACTATTACAATAATGTAAAATATTTTCTATTGTAAAATATAAATTATAATGGAAAATCTACGAATGAAATCATGAATGACTAATTTACATTTTTGGAATTCTATTTGGTTTCGTGTTTGTTTCCCAAGAATTTTTTAAACTTTTAGTGGTTTATTTTAAAAATTACTTAATTGCAATGAAAAACGTGTTTATTTAATAAATAAATAATTTGATTTATTTTGGTTATAAATAAAATAAATAGAAAAATACATGTTTTATGACTAAAAACAAACATTTGTGGTTTTTATTTAGCAAAACAAAATTGACAAAGAGAGAAGAATGTAAAGAAATTAGAAAAAGGGGAATGAGTAAAATTATTGTTAACAGGGATGGAAATATGAAATTTTATTTTACAAAAATAAAGAAAACTTTTTGTAGACTATAGACTAGACTAGACTATAAAGTAGACTCTAGACTATAATGTACTTTTTAGACTAGACTATAAACGAGAATATAGACTAGACTATAGTCTATAGACTAGACTATAGACTAGACTATAGACTAGACTATAGACTAGACTATAGACTAGACTATAGACTAGACTATAGACTAGACTATAGACTAGACTATAGACTAGACTATAGACTAGACTATAGACTAGACTATAGACTAGACTATAGACTAGACTATAGACTAGACTATAGACTAGACTATAGACTAGACCATAGACTAGACTATAGACTAGACTATAGACTAGACTATAGACTAGACTATAGACTAGACTAGACTAGACTATAGCCAGACTATAGACTAGACTATAGACTTGACTATAGACTTGACTATAGACTTGACTAAAGACTAGACTATAGACTAGACTATAGACTAGAATATAGACTAGACTATAGACAAGACTATAGACTAGACTGTAGACTGGACTATAGGCTAAACTATAGACTAGACTGTAGACTGGACTATAGGCTAAACTATAGACTAGACTATAGACTAGACTATAAACTAGACTATAGACTAGACTATAGACTAGACTATAGACTAGACTATAGACTAGACCATAGACTAGACTATAGACTAGACTATAGACTAGACTATAGACTAGACTATAGACTAGACTATAGACTAGACTATAGCCAGACTATAGACTAGACTATAGACTTGACTATAGACTTGACTATAGACTTGACTAAAGACTAGACTATAGACTAGACTATAGACTAGACTATAGACTAGACTATAGACTAGACTATAGACTAGACTATAGACTTGACTATAGACTTGACTATAGACTTGACTAAAGACTAGACTATAGACTAGACTATAGACTAGAATATAGACTAGACTATAGACAAGACTATAGACTAGACTGTAGACTGGACTATAGGCTAAACTATAGACTAGACTGTAGACTGGACTATAGGCTAAACTATAGACTAGACTATAGACTAGACTATAAACTAGACTATAAACTAGACTATAGATATATTATCATTCTGAAAATCAATAAATTTGCACTTTTATTTAAAATAAAACTTTTCTCTTATGTAAAATTAAACAAATTCTAATAATTATTTTTTTTTTTATTAATTTTTCTTCTTTACAGAGTGTTTTCAAATCAACATTTAATAGAAATACAAAATAAAATATTTAAGTAATTTTAAAGTGCGCTTCTACACCTTGAAAATAATTTAAAGAAATTTCTTTAAAAAAAGAACACAAATAATTTTAGATACAAAATTATTTTTAATAAAACACAAAAATTAAAGTTATTTAACTAATTTTAAGTTTGTTTTTTTAATTTATAAAAAAAGAATTTATAAAAAAAAAAGTTATTTAAAAAACAAAAATTAATTAATACTTTAGAATAAAACAAAACAAAATAACATCATCATCATCATGATCAATATGGACATAAGTGTTACACCAAATTATTCATATATTTTCGATTTCGAAAATGATTTCATACATCAACGCACACGCAAATGGATGGTGGAAAATTGGACCTGGGTATTTTACTATTGCGGCATTTATATGTTGGTGATATTTGGTGGTCAACATTTATGCAAAGTCGTCCACGGTAAGTTGAATAAAATTGAATATTAAAATTAAAATATTTAATTTATTTTAAGTTCTAATTACAATTTTAATTAAAAATTTTGATTATTGACGCTTATTGTCATCATTAGCATATAAATGTCATTAATATACATTTTACATTTAATGTAATACTTATACACATGTCATTATTGTTTTTTTTTTTTTTTTTTTTTTGCTAAAGTTTTATTATTAATACTCAACGTTAAATATTTAATAGAAAAACTGTAAATACTATTAAATGATAATAATCATTTTAAAAGGTATAATTTTGTCGGGAAAAAAACCACTATTCACTACTGGTGGCAAAATTGACACACATTTATACAAATATGACATTAAATTGTTGTAATGAAAATAATAATTATATATTTATTTGTTGCATTACACCACTGTCACGCAGTCAATAATCAAGAGAAAACTCTTTATTATTATAAAGTTTTTTATTGTGTACAAGTATCTTTTTGATCAAGAAAGCAGTTGAAAGAAATTAAATGAATAAACAATTTCATTTAGTGAAAAAGTAAATATAAATTACTTATAATTGGTTTATTTGCATACAATCATTTTAATGATATTTAAGCGAAATTATTCAATTAAATGACAGTTATTGTCATATTTAGTTGGAAACAAAACTATCGCAAAGAATAGACATTTCTAGTCTATGGTCTGGACTGTAGTCTAGCCTAATATCTGTACTTTAGTGTAGTCTGATATATATTTATGTCTAGTCTATGTCTAGTCTATCTAGTCTATGTCTAGTCTATGTCTAGTCTATGTCTAGTCTATGTCTAGTCTATGTCTAGTCTATGTCTAGTCTATGTCTAGTCTATGTCTAGTCTATGTCTAGTCTATGTCTAGTCTATGTCTAGTATGTCTAGTCTATGTCTAGTCTATGTCTAGTCTATGTCTAGTCTATGTCTAGTCTATGTCTAGTCTATGTCTAGTCTATGTCTAGTCTATGTCTAGTCTATGTCTAGTCTATGTCTAGTCTATGTCTAGTCTATGTCTAGTCTATGTCTAGTCTATGTCTAGTCTATGTCTAGTCTATGTCTAGTCTATGTCTAGTCTATGTCTAGTCTATGTCTAGTCTATGTCTAGTCTATGTCTAGTCTATGTCTAGTCTATGTCTAGTCTATGTCTAGTCTATGTCTAGTCTATGTCTAGTCTATGTCTAGTCTATGTCTAGTCTGTCTAGTCTATGTCTAGTCTATGTCTAGTCTATGTCTAGTCTATGTCTAGTCTATGTCTAGTCTATGTCTAGTCTATGTCTAGTCTATGTCTAGTCTATGTCTAGTCTATGTCTAGTCTATGTCTAGTCTATGTCTAGTCTATGTCTAGTCTATGTCTAGTCTATGTCTAGTCTATGTCTAGTCTATGTCTAGTCTATGTCTAGTCTATGTCTAGTCTAGTCTAGTCTATGTCTAGTCTATGTCTAGTCTATGTCTAGTCTATGTCTAGTCTATGTCTAGTCTATGTCTAGTCTATGTCTAGTCTATAGTCTAGTCTAGTATGTCTAGTCTATGTCTAGTCTATGTCTAGTCTATGTATGTTAGTATGTCTAGTCTATGTCTAGTCTATGTCTAGTCTAGTCTATGTCTAGTCTATGTCTAGTCTATGTCTAGTCTATGTCTAGTCTATGTCTAGTCTATGTCTAGTCTATGTCTAGTCTATGTCTAGTCTATGTCTAGTCTATGTCTAGTCTATGTCTATCTATGTCTAGTCTAATGTCTAGTCTATAGGTCCTAGTCTATGTCTAGTCCTATGTATAGTCCTATAAGTCTAGTCCTTATGTCTATCTTATTCTTATGTCCTAGTCTAATGTCTAGTCTATGTCTATTCTATGTCCTAAGTCTATGTCTAGTCTATGTCCTAGTCTATGTCCTAGAGTCTATGTTATTCCGAGTCTATGTCTAGGCGATGTAATAAGTCTAATGTATAGTCTATTGATAGTCTAATGTCTAGTCTCTGTCCTAGTCTATGTCTAGTCTACGTCTAGTTTCTATCTAGTCTAATTCTAGTCTATGTATTGTCTCTGTCTAGTCCTATATCAAGTCTGGTATATGCCTGGCTTATATCTACTCTATGTCTAGTAATTGTAGTTGCACTCTTAAAAACTACAAAACGTAGTTAATCTCATTAGCTATTAAGAAGACCTCCTTCTTAACAAGTGTAAAAATTATACCACGCTATTAACTCATAATCATCATTATTATTGCAAATTTATTTTAAACTATTCTTAACTAATAAGCTTCTAGTTTAAATTACAAACAAAACGCCAAGATAATTCTAGTAATTTGTCAGAAATAACAAATAAGTCAAACATCAAAATAATCGTAATCGCGTAAAGGATGTACTAAATGTTAATGACATTATTTTATTATATTCAATTAAAACATGTGTGTCAATAAGTGTTTGGTGGTAAATATTTATTTTAAAAATTATTATTGATTTAAGTTTTCTGAGAATATTTATGCCTAGATTTTTTTTGTTTTTTTTTGCGATTTATTATTAACAAAATAAATGCAAATATTATAGTGATTGAATAACGTCAATGAGTTTTGTTAGTTTTAGGTAAATAATAAAAAATATGGCTAGTTAACAAACCCATAAAAAATGGCAAAAAAAACGAAGAATAGTTGTTATTACATTCTAATACAGTTATCGGAAATTTATTAACGATAAAATCTTATACAAACAACTGGAGTTTATTTTTTACATTCATGGTAATGATGATATCATTTTAGGAAAATATAAAAATTGTAATTAATACTTTCAGTGTAAATATTGCAAATGTGCAAAAAACCATATTGCAAAATAAATAAATAAAAATCAATATGAAATTAATGCGTATTTTAGATGTAATGATGTTGAGTTGAAATTTGTTGAAAGTGTAGATTCAATATGTTTAATGTAATTTAGTTTATAGTCTATGTCTAGTCTATATCTATCCTATGTCTAGTCCATGTCCAGTTTATGTCTATGTCTGGTCTATATCTGGTCTATGTCTGGTCTATGTCTGGTCTATGTCAGGTCTATGTCAGGTCTATGTCTGGTCTATGTCTGGTCTATGTCTGGTCTATGTCTGGTCTATGTCTGGTCTATGTCCTAGTCTATGTCTAGTTATGTCTAGTTCATGTCTAGTCCATGTCTAGTCTATGTCTAGTCTATGTCTAGTCTATGTCTAGTCTATGTCTAGTCTAGTAGTCTATTAGTCCTATGTCTGTCTTGTCTAGTCTATGTTCTAGTCTATGTCTAGTCTATGTCTAGTCTATGTCTATCTTGTCTATTCTATGTCTAGTCTATGTCTAGTCTATGTCTAGTCTATGTCTAGTCTATGTACCTAGTCTATGTCTAGTCTATGTCTAGTCTATGTCTAGTCTATGGTCTAGTCTATGTCTAGGTCCTATGTCTAGTCTATGTCTAGTCTATGTTCTAGTCTAATGTCTAGTCTATGTCTAGTCTATGTCTAGTCTATGTCTGAGTCTATGTCTAGTCTATGTCCTATGTCTAGTCTATGTCTAGTCTATGTCTAGTCTATGACTAGTCTAGTCTAGTCCTATGTCAGGCTATTGTCTAGTCTATTTCTAGTCCTATGTCTAGTCGTATGTCTAGTCTATGTCTAGTCCTATTTCTAGTCTATGTCTAGTCTATGTCTAGTCCTATGTCTAGTCGATGTCTAGTCTATGTCTAGTCTATGTCCTAGTCTATGTCTAGTCTATGTCTAGGCCCTATGTCAAGTCTATGTCTAGTGTATGTCTAGTCTATGTGCTAGTCTAGTCTATGTCAAGTATATGTCTAGTGTATGTCTAGTCTATGTCTAGTCTAGTCTATGTCTAGTCATGTCTAGTCTATGTCTAGTCTAGGTCTAGTCTATGTCTAGTCTATGTCTAGTCTATGTCTAGTCTATGTCTAGTCTATGTCTAGTCTATGTCTAGTCTATGTCTATCTATGTCTAGTCTATGTCTAGTCTATGTCTAGTCTATGTCTAGTCTATGGCTAGTCTATGTCTAGTCTATGTCTAGTCATGTCTAGTCTATGTCTAGTCTATGTCTAGTCTATGTCTATCTATGTCTAGTCTATGTCTAGTCTATGTCTAGTCTATGTCTAGTCTATGTCTAGTCTATGTCTAGTCTATGTCTAGTCTATGTCTAGTCTATGTCTAGTCTATGTCTAGTCTATGTCTAGTCTATATCTAGTCTATTGCTTAGTCTATGTCTAGTATATGTCTAGTCTAGTCTATGTGTAGTATATGTCTAGTCTATGTCTAGTCTATGTCTAGTCTATGTCTAGTCTATGTCTAGTCTATGTCTAGTCTATGTCTAGTCTATGTCTAGTCTATGTCTAGTCTATGTCTAGTCTATGTCTAGTCTATGTCTAGTCTATGTCTAGTCTATGTCTAGTCTATGTCTAGTCTATGTCTAGTCTATGTCTAGTCTAGTCTAGTCTAAGTCTACTCTATGTCTATTCTATGTCTATATTATGTCTATTCTATGTCTAGTCTATGTCTACTCTATGTCTATTCTATGTCTATTTTATGTCTATTCTATGTCTAGTCTATGTCTAGTCTATGTCTAGTCTATGTCTAGTCTATGTCTATATGTCTAGTCTATGTCTAGTCTATGTCTAGTCTATGTCTAGTCTATGTCTAGTCTATGTCTAGTCTATGTCTAGTCTATGTCTAGTCTATGTCTAGTCTATGTCTAGTCTATGTCTAGTCTATGTCTAGTCTATGTCTAGTCTATGTCTAGTCTATGTCTAGTCTATGTCTAGTCTATGTCTAGTCTATGTCTAGTCTATGTCTAGTCTATGTCTAGTCTATGTCTAGTCTATGTCTAGTCTATGTCTAGTCTATGTCTAGTCTATGTCTAGTCTATGTCTAGTCTATGTCTAGTCTATGTCTATGTCTAGTCTATGTCTATGTCTAGTCTATGTCTAGTCTATGTCTAGTCTATGTCTAGTCTATGTCTAGTCTATGTCTAG